GAAAATGCATTGGTAAAAATACTGTAAAGCTAAATGTTGCTGCTCATGCTTACGCTTTCGTGGATTTGAAGATGCCACCACGTTTCTGTTTTTGCGTGAGTAATATCTCAGTTATGTGGCTGCTTATTTAACAATGGGAATTGTTTGACCGGGAACATATTTTTTCAAAATATCAAAAATACTCTTAGGCATCTAAGATGCATCAATTGGTCCCAACCACCTAGAGTAAAGGAGAATGAAGAACCCCAAAGACATAAGGAAAGTATTAGCCCAAGAGACAGAAAGGGCCACATAAACCAGAGACTTCATCAGCCTGAGACCAGAACTAGATGGTGCCTGGCTACCACCAATGACTGCCCTGACAGGGAACACAACAGAGATTACCTGATGGAGCAGGAGAAAGGTGGGGTGCAGAAATCAAATTCTAGTAAGACCAGACTTAATGGTCTGACAGACTGGAGGAACCCCAGAAAGCATGGCCCCTGGATTCTCCATCAGCCCAGAAATAAAACAACTTCCAAGACCAACTCTTCAGACAGGGATTGGACTGGACTGTGGGACATAAGAGTGTGTCTCTTAGGTAGATAAATGGGCAGCTTCTGTCAGGAGGTGAGATGGGAAGGCAGAGAGGGTTAGGAGCTGGTTGAATGGACATGGTGGAAAGGAGTGTGCTGTTTCAGTATGGGGAGAGCAGTTAGGCTCACATAATTATGTATAAATTTTTGTATGGGAGACTAACTTGAAATGTAAACTTCATTTAAACTACAATAAAAAAATACTCTTAGGGATGAAAACAAAGTACTTGTAAGTAAGGTTTAAAGTGCGTATGTTATAAAAGGTTCAAATGTATTAAACATGCTGTATGTTCTGGCTTATCTGAATTGATGGGCTTGTGCAACTAAATTAATAACCATGATGTCGAGTTTTCAAGTAACATGCAACACTATATCCAGCACGTTCAGGCAGATGGCTTCTGGTATAGCAGTGCTTTAATCAGACAACAGTTAAGTTTGATATCTCCAAAGATCTTTAAGTTACAGAAAGAGGAGCATGACGTACTTAAAATAATAGTACATTGAAGAAGCTCAGCCTGGAATTTTATTTTTTCAGATAAGATTTGTGACCAGATCAGTGATGCTGTCCTTGATGCCCACCTTCAGCAGGACCCTGATGCCAAAGTGGCTTGTGGTAAGTTCACAACTCGTGCTTGCTTAACTGATTGAAAGGTAATATGAAGATTACTTTCGTTTGAGTGCAAACCTTTCTTTTATTAGAAACTGTTGCTAAAACTGGAATGATCCTTCTTGCTGGAGAAATTACGTCCAGAGCTGCTGTTGACTACCAGAAAGTAGTTCGTGAAACCATTAAACACATTGGCTATGATGATTCTTCCAAAGGTGAGTGTTAATGAGTTGGCTTTTCTAAGGTCTTCATTTTTCTCCAGTTAAAGCCTGTGAGGGTTGAAGAAACTATCTTCTAGAATGTTCCTGCTAGTCTTTAACTCAAGTTGTATAATTTTAGAATACTTGATTCTTTTCCTTCTACCTGAGTTTTAGGAATACTTGATTACTTTAGCAGTATTGGAAATTCCAACGGTATTGGTTTTTTTTGTTTTTTTAGAACAAAGCATTTTTCTGCTTACAGGATTTGACTACAAGACCTGTAATGTTCTGGTAGCCTTGGAGCAACAGTCGCCAGATATTGCTCAAGGTGTTCATCTTGACAGGAATCAGGAGGACATTGGTGCAGGAGACCAGGTATCTTGGAGGCTATCTGCAGCTCTTATAACATTAAATTCTAAAGCTTGGATTGATCACGTTAGTGACTTCTTTTTTTTAGGGCTTGATGTTTGGTTATGCCACTGATGAAACTGAAGAATGTATGCCTTTAACCATTGTCTTAGCACACAAGCTCAATGCCAAACTTGCTGAACTACGCCGCAGTGGCACTTTGCCTTGGTTACGCCCAGATTCTAAAACTCAAGTAAGTGATGATTTGAGTTCCATGTCAAGTTATCATAAAGCTACATGACGTCTCACGTTAGATTAGCACAAAAAAAATCAGTAAAGTTATGTTTTCACTTAACTATAGCTCATTAACTGGGGAAAAAATAGCCTATCAAGTAGAGAACTGAGTATAAAGCTATTGTTTGGTTACAGCTGATAACCTATGTTGTCTTCAAGGTGACTGTGCAGTATATGCAGGATCGAGGTGCTGTGCTTCCCATCAGAGTCCATACAATTGTTATATCCGTTCAGCATGATGAAGAAGTTTGTCTTGATGAGATGAGGGATGCTCTAAAGGAGAAAGTCATCAAAGCAGTTGTACCTGCGAAGTATCTTGATGAGGATACAATCTACCACCTACAGCCAAGTGGCAGATTTGTTATTGGTGGGCCTCAGGTAAGGCCTTACAATGGCATTCATTTGTTGTATTTTTCTGTATCTTTTGTGATGGTTACTTGAAGTTTTAGCTATCACCACCTTTTTTCTAGGCCTTCTGAAGCCTGCATGTGAATCTTGAGGATGCTTGTTTGATAAACAGTAGGCATTTAGCAACCTGATCCTAGAGCCATTCACTGGAAAGGATTAGGCCTAAAGTGACTTAAATCCTGTAATTTCAGGGTGATGCTGGTTTGACTGGCCGGAAGATCATTGTGGACACTTATGGTGGTTGGGGTGCTCATGGAGGAGGTGCCTTTTCAGGAAAGGATTATACCAAGGTGGACCGTTCAGCTGCTTATGCTGCTCGTTGGGTGGCAAAATCCCTTGTTAAAGGAGGTCTGTGCAGAAGGGTTCTTGTTCAGGTATATACTCTTCTATGTAACTGGAGTGATTTTTAAAGTCATGTAAGAACCGGGGGGGGGTGGGTGTTGTATACCAGTGTATTACACAAGTGTGTGGGTCTTTTAGATCACTGACTCTTATGACATTTGAATTCTTTTAGGTCTCTTATGCTATTGGAGTTTCTCACCCATTGTCTATCTCCATTTTCCATTATGGCACCTCTCAGAAGAGTGAGAGAGAGCTATTAGAGATTGTGAAGAAGAATTTTGACCTCCGCCCTGGGGTCATTGTCAGGTAAAGATGGTAAAGTCTTGCTAGTGAAAAACACAGGGAGTGGGTGTGTATATATACTCTTTAAATCCTAGGAGGTGAAAGCGTGAAGGATAACTCATTGAGAAAGACATTTTACTATCATTCCTAGAAACATAATGTTACGCTTAAATTACCTATTTAAAAAATCTAAAATTTTAACGCTCTGTGGTTTAGGCTAACCAGCTTCGAAAATCCTTCACATTTGATGGTGGGCTTGCGCTACCTAAGGATGTTTACTTAAAAGAAATTGGCACAGCTAAATGGGATGTTCTAGGCTATGAAAAAGAAAATAAACATGGTAGGGTGGGGGCTGTGGGACATTGGTAAGTATTCCATGATCTCAGATGAGCTTTTGACACTTGGAATTCTTCAGGATAATGACAAGTTTTCATATTTGTTGAGCCAGTGATGGAAAAACAAGAACTATAGTTAATAAGGACTGTGCAAGGAGTTTGGACACCAGGGAAGTAACACTTTCGCCACAAACTTTTTTCCTAGCATTCCCCAGAGAACTGAACTCATTTGCCAGAGCTCTTGAAAATGAGTCTTGCTGATTGTTTTGCTTTATTTTAAATGAATGCTGTATATTAAGTTATGGACTTGTATATTCCAGGGATCTGGATCTGAAGAAGCCAATTTATCAGAGGACTGCAGCCTATGGCCACTTTGGTAGGGACAGCTTCCCATGGGAAGTTCCCAAAAAGCTTAAATATTGAAAAGTGTTAGCCTTTTTTCCCCAGACTTGTTGGCGTAGGCTACAGAGAAGCCTTCAAGCTCTGAGGGAAAGGGCCCTTGTTCCTAAATTTTCCTGTCCTCTTTCAGCTCCTGATCAGTTGCAGTCACTCTAGTTAATGACATAAATTTTAGTTTTTGTGGGGGACTGTAAGTTGGGCTTGCTATTCTGTCCCTGGTGTTTTGTTCACCATTATAATGAATTTAGTGAGCATAGGTGATCCATGTAACTGCCTAGAAACAGACAACACTGTAGTAAATAATGCTTTTTGAAATTGAGCCTTTGTGCCCTACCACCCAACCCTCTAAAGTCCTAATTGCATTGACTTTCCCACCAAATGCTGAAAATGTTCTTGTAATGTGCACGTAAAGTACTCGTAGTTCCATTATAGCCTCTGTCTGGCAATGCCATAGCCCTGTCAGCATGAATTTGTAATGTCTTGAGCTCTGTTATGAATGTGAAGCCTCCCCTCACCTCCCTCTAACTTGATTCATTTCTAACTATCTAGTTCTTTGTCGGGGAGTGTTCCCTATCCAATCAGTCTTGCATGTAACGCAAGTTCCATTTGGAGCTCTAGCCTGACATCAAAAAAAAAAAAAGAAAAGAAAAGGGCAGTTACCATTAAACCATCTCCCTGGTGCTTATGCTCTTTAATTGCCACCTCTTAAACAGCACCAAATCCAAATCTTTCCACTTTCAGCTGTCTTCTGGAGGACGTACGTAATAAGGTTTTTATTTAGTAAACCAATCCTATGCATGGTTTCAGCACTAGCCAAACCTCACCAACTCTTAGCTCTAGAAAAACAGGCGCTTGGCACCCTTGTGATGTCATACAGAGAAGTCACAGGGGTAGTACCTAAGGGTCTGTAGGTTGCACACTTTGGTACCAGATAACTTTTTTTTTTTTCTTTATAAGAAAGACTGAGTACTCCACACTGCACAGTAACTCCTCCCAGGGTTTTAACTTTGTTTTGTTTTCAAAACCAGGTCCAATGAGCTTTCTGAACAGCTGGTGTAGCTACAGAGAAACCAGCTTCCTTCAGAGAGCAGTGCTTTTGGCGGGGAGGAGGAAATCCCTTCATACTTGAACATTTTCTAATTGCTTATTTATTGTATTCTGGGGTATGGCGTAAGTACAGAGAAGCCATCACCTCAGATGGCAGCTTTTAAAGGATTTTTTTTTTTTTTTTTCCTCGACACCATGATTCCTTTAACATGTTTCCAGCATTCCCAGGTAGGCCAAGGTGTCCTACAGAAAAACCTTGGGTTATACCTACAGGGGGTCTGGCTGGTGTTAACAGAAGGGAGGGCAGAGCTGGTGCGGCTGGCCATGGAGAAAGCTGACTTGGCTGGTGTGGTACAGAGAAGCCAGCTTGTTTACATGCTTATTCCATGACTGCTTGCCCTAAGCAGAAAGTGCCTTTCAGGATCTATTTTTGGAGGTTTATTACGTATGTCTGGTTCTCAATTCCAACAGTTCAATGAAGATCTAAATAAAATGCTAGGTTCTACGTTAACTGCGTCCACTATTCCTTAAAAAGTGTCTTTGGTATTTTATATAACCTGAATTCATTGTATATGTACCTTTAACTCTGAATAATTTGTATCTACAGTCCTACCATGGCTCAGGGAAATAGCTCATCTTTTGGACCGAACTGTACAGGCTAATTTAAAGGTACCAAAGCTTAGAATCTTTCCTGATAGAAAAGTTTTTTTTTTTTTTTTAAGATTTGCCTGTTTGTCCAGCATTGCTCTCTAGTTGACAAGTGTCTCCCTATTGGGGCAGTTACTCCTACATTGTCAATAACATGCTTCTCATGTCTTATACCAAAAGTCCTAATAGAGGATAGCCTGGTTATATATAGTTTTGGAAATTTGGAACTTTAGCCAAGCTAGTCTTAATGCTGGAAGGGAGTATATTAAAAATAAGATCTTCAGTCAGGTCATAGCTGAACAGTTAGTTTTGGGTGAGTTGTTAGAGAAGTGCTGTAATGCAGGAACAGGTTTTTGGGCACAACAAAAATGAATTTTTTTTAATGACAAGATCACAGTTAAAAAGGTCTTTCGTTTCCAAAGGTTTAAAGTTCACTCTGGCAGTTTGTGGAGAAGGCCTATCCACCACACTGGGTAGACCTAGACAAGAACCAGCTAACATGTTTCCACTGGCATTTTATGCATCTACTTTTGACTTGCTATTGGGGAAATGCTACTCCAGGGCATCAGTGAAACTCCAAATTACAGAAACTAGACCCTCAACCTTACACGTCATTGAAGAAACGTTTCAGCGTCCAGTATTTTCAAAAAGCTTTTTAGATGCCTGTCAGGGGCCATCTAAAGGGCAAGTATCCATGTTGGCCCAATATGAGAACTGATTAGGAGGCTCCCTCTGTCCTCAACTTAAGCTCCTTGAGGACAGAGGGAGCCTCCTAGAGGCCTACCCAAAGATAAAGGTAGATGAGCAGGTGTGGGAGAACTGAAGCAAAGGAGTGGAGGTATGAAATGGCAAGTGTTAAGAATGATCACAAATAGCTGAGAAAGCGTGAAGTGCAAGTACCAGGGAAAGGAATGTTCATTATAAATTGTATTTAGGTTGAAAAAGTTGCATTTCACCTAGTCAGTGACAAAGATTCAGATACTGGGAGTAGGATGAGAAAAGCCACCTGGCTTCTCACTGAAAACCCACTCAGAAGAATTGCATTTGCAGAGCCAGATCCTTCCTGCAATCTGAATAGCTTGTACTAGTATTTAGATGACCTTAATACTTTCATAGGGGAAATGGGTCTCAGGTGGTAAACTCAATAGTTAATATGGGCAAGCATGCTTGCCCTCCTCAAAGTAAGAGTCCCCTCCCAAAAAAGTGAACAACTATCCAGTTAAGTAAGTCTAATGGGTGGGGGGCGGGGGGGATAAGAGCTGACCACGGGTAAAGAACACAGTACCAGTTGCAAAGTGATAAGGACATCCTGTGCCACTGCCATTCCTAGCCCATGTAACACTTTGTTATAGAACTTTCCACCAGGCTCCACTAGATCCTCAGTGGGTTCCTTTATTTGCAGGCCCAGCCTGCACAACCTACATGGTGGGCCTGCCCTAGGAGAAGCAGGTCTGACTTAGAGATGAATAAGTGTAAGGATAGACAGTCCTGTAGGATATCCAGGTAGAGCTATAGGTAAGTCTAGGGCTCAACAGAAATCTATTACTGGAAACCATGGAGTGGACATAATCACTTTACTGTGAAAAGGCAGCTGCCCAAGAAGAACCCTGGGACCACTGTCTAAGGGGTATGGGAGTGGGGAGGAATGTAGGCATGGGAAGAGAACCTTAAATTTTTTCAAATTCTGTCAATTTACCAAAGCACTGTCCTCATGTTACTGCCAGCCTCTGCCATGAGACCAACCATAAGCTCCTGGAGCCAAAATTAAGCCCACTGCTGATGAGTCACTTCCAACTCATAGCAACCCTAAAGGACAGACTAGAACTGCTCCATAGCGTTATCAAGGCTGTTATCTTAATGGGAGCTGACGGCCACATCCAGCAAAAAATGTTGCCACTGAGTCAATTCCAACTCATGGTCCCTATAGGAGAGAGTAGAACTCCATAGAGTTTCCAAGAGTGCCTGGTGGATGCAGACTGCCGACATTTCGGTTAGCAGCTATAGCACTTAACCACTACACCACCAGGGTTTCTGTCACATCCAGCAGGGACCCTTTTTTTGCTATTATGCATTCCTGCTTCCCAGCCCAGTTCCACACCTTTGGTAAATTTTTACTGACTGAGAAGCTTCCTGCATCACCCTTGCACATCCAGACCTACAGTGACTGCAAACACCCCCTAATCCCTCACCAAGTTTGTTTTCCACTAACTGCCCACTAAAGGCTAGAATAATGCCTAATACTGAATTTACTTTTTGAGAAATATTACCAATCATCTAATTTTCCTTATTTAACTTTGGTGATGCTTTTCTGACTACAGGTATGTGTCATTTAATGACTAGTGGGGCAACATCTGACCCGTAGACATCCTGGTCCTGCCAGGTTATCCAGATCCAGAGAACAGGATGTGGTAGACATACTTTGCTAAGTAGGGAGATCCGATCTGTTTCTCACTAGCTCTCTGGTCCCTAATCAGCCCCACCCCTGGGCAGCAGGGGTCCCGGAGCCCATCCGCAGCTGCCTATCCCACCGTGCTCGCAGGGACTTCAAGGACGCCCTTGCAGCCCCCTAGGGGGATGCCCTTGTGGCAGCTATCCCCGCTCCAATTGGGGTGGGCGGGCCTGGAAAAGTTTAGAGCCTATTAGGGGAGAAGGAGAAGGAAGGGAAGGAAACCAGCAGCAGGACGGAGTGCACATGCACCCACCCCAGTGCTTGGGCAGGTCCCAGGCATGGGTCTCAGAGATCTGCAGTGGTTGAGCCAAAGTTTTTGCAAAGTCCTTCAGCATGGTGGCAACACAGGTCCCAGGCCCAACCGGTGACTGTCCTGCAAGCCTCTCCCCCGTATATAACATGGTGTTCGCACAATATTCAGATCACAGAATGTGCAGTGGGTGTTAAACGACGCATACCTGTATTCTCACAATTGGTAGTGAAAAACTTACTGGCTGTACAGATAACAGAAACAAAGAAGGAACAAGATTGTAGTAAAGATAAAATTACTCTGTACATTTAGAACCTGATTACCATTCTAATCATACTTGTAACTGAGAAGACAAGTTTTTAACTGCATTATTTCAGAACTTATCAGCGATTCTGAAAATTAGACAAGGCACAGGAACTTAAGTCAAAAAGACTTGAGTTCAAACTATCAATCCATCCCTTACTAGCTGAATGCCTTTGGGCAAACTATCACCTCGAAACCTCAGTTCTCCAACTGTAAGGTGGGGCTGCTGGCTCTTAAGGATGAAATGTGGCAGTGTTGGCGCAGTGCTTCACACAGTGCCAGGCACCTAGTGAGCACTGTAGAGTGGTTAGCTATTATTGTCAGGGTACATCAAAATCCTTCCACCATGGGCTAGATGCCTTAAACCTCTTACACCTCTCTATCCTATAAGGACATTTTCACATTGTTTCTAACCTCCTCTTGGCCCCTCAACCTTGGATTGATAAATCCCATCCTTGCTTTATCTCCTTGGCTCCTCTAAGCTATCATCTCTGAATTAAACAGAGCTATGGACAAGAAAAAAATAATGTAAAAAATATTGAGATAATTTTTCCATATAAATGTCCACTGTGTAAGTAATGGTCCTTTGATTGGCTGTTCCTATACCTACAACCCAAGAACTGACTCTACTCAGAACTCTGAATGAACAGGGTCAGAGTTTGACTCAGGAAGATTAGGATTTGAAGAATCCATGTCCGAATGACTCAACTCTCCAGCTGGCTCAAAGGGCCGCAAGTTTGCATAAGTCACCTCTTCGGCCAGCTGCTCCAGGGAAGGGCGGCCTAGGGCCAGATTTCGAAGTGAGATACAGGTCATCAAGAAGCTGAAAAAGAGGAAAAAGGCCACCCAGTTCAAACTCCTATTTCAACATAGGAATTCCTACCAAAGCTCTTAGGGGGCATCTGGTCCTGCCCCCAATCACCCAGGCACATACAAGCATCTCCCCAGAATGACCCTCCACACCCCAGCTGGAAAGGTACCCCTACTCCTTTATACAGGCCAGTAGAGGATTCCAGGGTGGGGCAGGAATAACCCGTGAGGAGACTGGAGATAAGCTGAGGCAGAACAAGACAGCAGCCCATCAGACACACACCATTTATTCTTTCATTAAATCGAGAGGAGAAGGTGAGGGGAAAGTGAGAGACACCCAGTGCTACACCGTCCTTTCCTGGGGGTGAGTCCTTGGTGTTTCCCTCACAAAGAAAAGTTACCCAGCTTGCAAACATCAGGTGGCAATGACAAGCATTTGTGAGTGAAACTTACCTACGGCGAAAGACGTAGAGCTTTCGCAGCAAGAAGCGGAAGAATCGCTCGTGGGTAGGGGTATTTCGCCGGCGCTCGATCTCCTGGAGCCTTTGCTGGCGTCTAAGAAAGGTCTGAACCAGAGGTGTTGGCTCTGGGCCCCCTTTTACTTCCCCATCCAGCAGAGGCTGCAGTTCTGGAGGTAGAGGCCCCGTTTCTGCCCAGAAGACAGCAAAAAGAGGAATCACTGAAGATGAACTTTCTCTCCTTTAGAGCTAACTCCCTTTCCACCAGCTTCAAGAGCATCCACTAGTGGCTAGATCTTCACAACCCTGACTTCTCGTAACCAGGGACTGCCTCAGCCTAAATGCTCACGTACTCACCACTTCCATTCTCCACCTTCTCCTTCAGTTCTTGCAGATATGCCAGGTCTTGCTCCAATGTGAGCTCCGTAGTGTTGACATAGATGTACATATAGCAGGAAGGACTGGGTGACGTTGTATACACCTTGTGGTATGCACCAGCAGGCAACTGACAAGGGGGAAAGAAACGGATCTACTTCATTCTCTGACCTTTCCCAAGCCAGCCTATGGGCTCCCTACTCTTACTCTTCCTGGCATCTTTCTTCTCGTCGTGTTTTGGAGGCTGAAGCACCTGACCTCTAACCAGCCCTAGGGGCCCTTGCTTTTTAAGCCCACACTGCATTACTGCTATGGTAAAGCACTCTGAATCTCTAATAAATGAATGCCGCTCACCGAAACATCCTTCCATCCTTTTTTTTAAAGATGACTTCATGAGGCAGTTTTGGCTCAAGTTTCAGAAGTTGTTTCCAATTAACCTTTCTGCCATTCTTAATCCCAGGAAAATACCTGCATTTTTTCTCCCTCTCGAAGAGTCTGGTTCTTCTGCTCTGACACCAGCTCCACAGTCACCTCCCCCTGCAGCAGCTGGATGCTAGTGTTGCCCAGGTCTTCACTCACAAAATTCTCCAGGTGCAGCCCTGCCAGGGGCAACAGTGTTCACCATCCCAACTCATCGCAGAGTGAACTCACTCCCAACCAGAACGAAGACATTACACCTACCCTACCACCTTCCTCAGGTTCCCCCCACCACACGCAGCATCCCTGGCCAAGGCAGGCAGGATGACAGAAAGCAAAGGCTCTCCTCACTGCCCTTCATACCAGGGAAGTCTGCAATGAAGACCACCTCAGTGTGGTTGTCCAGGCTGCTCTTGATCTCCTGAAACTTGGCCCTCCAGGGAGACAGGTCCATCAAGAGTGGCTGCAGCCAGGGTGTGCGCTGAAAGGGGGACCAGGCAGCCTGCACGATGTCCACACGAGGGTCAAAGATCCTGAGAGAAGAAAACCACATTCTATGGAGGCCACAATTACCCACACACCACACTTCCAGTTTTGTTCCTTTCATCAGTTTCCAGGCAGAGAGAGCAGCGTTTCCAGACAGAAAAAATGGCTTTATGTCAGCACATTATTGCCCAGTCCAGAGCAAAGAGAGAGAGGGAGGGAAAGAGACTTTGGAGCACTGGGAAGAATGGGGGTTAGTGGCTACCTAGAAACCATCCTGTTAACATTTCTAAAAGAACAAGGCAGTTAACTTTTTTTCTGGGTGATGGTGCCCCCTGCTGCAAGCAATCAGCTATACCCACAACCAAATCAACGAGGACATGCACCAGAGGGATAGCCTCCCAAGCAAGCCAACACTGGGAAGCATGTGCTCTTCTCCCCCTTCTCTGCTCCCACTGCCCACCTCTGATGGAAGCGGTCATTGATGGAGACCCAAATATCAAAGTAGATTTGGGGCTCAGTGACATTGTACTTGGGAAGCAGGCGGCTCAGGCAAGTGGCATATTGCTTCAGCATGTCTGCGTGATCCTTCCAGCGCCGGCTCTGTGTGAACACCTGCCCCAAACCCGTACGTTAGTCTCACCTTTACGCTAGCAACCTCCCAGACAAGTCATGCCCTGCCAGCTGCACACACACCCCTGCCTGCTGCCCTCTTTGGCCAGAAGAAAATGCAACTTGCCTTTGGGAGGGAATTTTTCACTGCTGGGGTAGTGGTACTTACCTTTCCTAAATTTTTTTTTTTTAATTGTGGTAAAATATACACACCATAATATCTGGCATTTTAACCACTTTTAAGTGTACAATTCAGTAGCATTGATTACATTCACAATGTTGTGCAACCTTCACCACTATTTCCTTTTAAAACTTTTCATCACCCTGAACAGGAACCCTGTACTCAGTAAGCAGTAACTCCCCATCTTCCCCTACTCCCAGCCCCGGGTATCTGCGAATCTACTCTATGCATTTGCCTGTTCTAGATATTTCATGTAAGTGAAACCATACATTTGTCCTCTTCTATCTGACTTATTTCACTCAGCATAACGTTTTCAAGGTTCATCCGTGTTGCAGCACGTATCAGAACTTCATATCGTTTTATGGCTGAATAATATTCCACTGTATGTATAGTGCTGCTATGAGTCGGAATTGACTCAATGGCAATTGGTTTTTTGGTTTTTGGTATGGAGCCCTGGTGGCACAATGGTTAAAGCACTCGGCTGCTAACTAAAAGGTTGGCAGTTCAAACTCCCAGCCGCTCCAAGGAGACAGATGTGGCAGTCTGCTTCCGTAAAGATTTACAGCCTTGAAAACCCTATGGGGTTCTACTCCGTCCTATAGGGTCGCTATGAGTTGGAATCGACTTGACGGCAACGGGTTTGGTTTGGTTTGGCATGGATATACTACTTTTTGTGTATCCATGCATCTGCTGATTTACACTTGGCTTGTTTCTACCTTTTACCTATTGTGAATAATGCTGCTATTACCGTTCCTAAATCTTAAAGGCAAAATCTCAACTCAATACAGTGAGTGACGCTGGCCTATCTTAACCCACACAAAAGAAGGTTCATCCTGGCTGCTGAGAAAGAGCAGAAGGGACCCAAGTTTGTTGTACTTTATGGTGTGTGTAGGACCAAACCAGACCCAAAGCTCAAGGGGGCTCTGAAGAACGGTACATTGTCAACATCAGACGTCTCACCCCAGGGTTAAGGTAGCCCAGCTCGCCGGTGCGGCCATCGCGGTAGGTGATCTTCACATGCTGGTGGTTGCGGGAGTGCACCATCATGTCCCAGGAATAGCCATAAAGCCCGTTTGTCCAGTTGTTATAGCCCTGGGGAGGCACGGCAGAGGGGAATCAGCTCAAACAACAACGATTCTCACACTAGCTCCATCCTCTACCTAGACAGGCTATAAAACCAGCCCTCTTCTCTCCCTACTATAGCCACCCCTGCACTTACCAAGCCCGGCCTCTGCGGCACGCCCCCAGCCCACACATACCTGGGTGAGGAAATGGGAATAGGGCAGGAAGAGCTGCTCCAGGAGGTAAAGCAGGGTGAAGGCAGCTCCTAGCTGATGGCGCAGCCCTGGCTTCTGGCCACCCTTGGCCCGGCTCCTCTTATACACACAGGAAGCACTGGGCTGAGGGGAAGCCTTGAGGGGCAGTAGTTCTTGCAGCCTTTTGGGACAGTGGGATACCAGCTTCCGCGGCCACTCAGGGGAGCAGAAGAGAGGGCTGCTGGCCAGCATGACATAGGAGAACATACCTAGGAAAGCAGAGAGAAAATAAGCACTTCAGGAGTTCAGCTGGATGGAACAAGGGGAATTCCTTCAATCCCCTTCCCTTAGGAAGCTTCTGCCAGGTGTTGCACTTACAATGAAAGTTCTGAACTGTAAGATCCTTGTACTTCCCAGAGATTCCTTACACGACATGCTGAGTCCAGGAGCCCCAATCCTCTCATCCCAATTTAATCCTACTTCAGAGCGACTGCATTTGGCTCAAGTTAGCCCTACTCCAGCACATCTCCCACTCCCGAATACTGCCTCTGGCCTAGTCCTCTGCTGCAAACCTGTGCTTCCTGCTTGCCACCTGAATACAGGTACTGACCAATGCTGAAAAGCTGGGAATTCATGCAGTGGAAGTAGGACACGAAGAAAAGGCCAGCAGGTCTTGAGGCATCAAAGAAGAGCAGGAAGCCAGCTGAGAGGTCGAGCAGCAGTCCACACCAGTGCACCACCAGCAGGCTGGTCATCTCCTCAGACAACACTAGCCTGCAGACACCAGGGACAAGAGTCAGGCACCAGCCCACCGGAGAACTCACCATTCATAGCACATTCATGGCAAAACACACCTCTGCTACCCTGTCCTTGTCAAAGGGTCTACCCCAGCGGGTGGGTAGAACTCCTAAGGTATCTAATCCACCCTACAGTACTTTTCTAACCCCGCTCACTTTCATACGCTAGATGTCCAAATTTTCCCAGCATGCCCTATGCAATAATCAAGGGCAGATCTTTGAGGACAAAATTTGATTGAGAAAGTGCGTGGGGGGTGGGGGCAGGGGGCAGGCTCCTCATGGAGACTATGAATTAGGACAAACTTTAAAAGGTGACTGTTGGATGGCACTTTGCAAAGGCCCCCCTGTAGCCAGTCACCTGCAGAACCACATCCTTGCGTGGTGCCTCAGATAGGCCCCGTCCAGATATCACAGGACTAAGCGGAACCTCCCCATCCCCAGACATGGCCCATTTTGTCAAGCAAGCTTCTCATCCCATGATTGGCCTCTGCCCATCCCTCTTCATGTCCCCAAGAGCCGTGGTGCTAGTCCAGTGGCTCCTCAGCCTGTCCCACCTCCATCTGACTACATGTATTCTCCAAGCAACTGTCCAGGGAAGGTTCCCCACGTCTCAGGCCCACATGCTATCTGGGTGCTGCTGGCTGTCCCCCTAGGAAGCCGAGGCCGTTAGCGCAGAGTATGTGGCCAGAGAGCCTAAAACAGGTTACTCGGTCTCAGAATTATTCTGGGGACCTTGTTAAAATACCTGTGGTCAACTGGACTAAACCAAAGCTAATAAGGTTCCTGAATACAACCAAACACGTCGAGGGGCAGGGTAGCAGGGGCGGCAGTCTGGGGACCATGGTTTCGGGGGACATCTAGGTCAGTTGGCATAAGTTTATTAAGAAAATGTTCTACATCCCACTTTGGTGAGTGGCGTCTGGGGTCTTAAAAGCTAGTGAGCAACCATCTAAGATGCATCAATTGGTCCCAGCCCACCTGGAGCAAAGGGGAATGAAGAATACCAAAGACACAATGAAATTATTAGCCCAAGAGACAGAAAGGGCCACATAAACCAGAGACTTCATCAGCCTGAGACCAGAAGAACAAGATGGTGCCTGACTACCACCAATGACTGCCCTGACAAGGAACACAACAGAGAGTCCCTGATGGAACAGAAGAGTGGGGTGCAGAACTCACATTCTAGTAAGACGACCAGACTTAATGGTCTGAGACTGGAGGAACCCCAGAAAGCATGGCCACTGGAATCTGTCAACCCGGAAGTGAAACCATTCCCCGAGCCCAACTCCTCAGACAAAGATGAGGCTGGACTATGGGACATAAAATGATACTCGTGAAGAGTGTGCTTCTTAGCTCAAGTGGATACATGAGACTAAATGGGCAGCTCCTGTCCGGGGGCGAGATAGGAAGGCAGAGAGGGTCAGGAGCTGGTTGAATGGACATGGGAGGTTTGGGGTGGAAAGGAGGAGTGTGCTGTCACTGTATAGGGAGAGCAACTAGGGTCACATAACAATGTATGTATAAATTTTTGTATGAGAGACTAACTTGAATTGTAAACTTTCACCTAAAGCACAACAATAAAAAAAATAAAATAAAATACCTGTGGTCATGGGCAAACCGACAAGGAACCAGAGTCTCCAGGGAAGTCAGCACTTTACAATTCATTAGCAACCCCGCTCTGCTCACCACCCACTGCACCCTCTCCACAGCCCTATGGGTGGCCCGCGGGTGGTTGGCATGGACTTCTTCATCTTATAGCCAAGTGCAGAAGTTCTTCCTGGAATCCTCCCACGCATCCGTCGAGCCTCTGTTCTTTCAGTTCCTCCAGGAAGCTCTCTCTGACCCCTTCCCACGTCCACGAGTAGCCAGCTCCTGGAGCTCCCTACCAACCTTTCTGTCAGTGATAACCATTATGACACTGTGTCAGGAGTTCCCTTGAGCTGGGTTCTATGCTGCGTTTACGGTCACGTGTTGTTGTTGCTGGATGCCGTGGAGTCAGTTTCTTACTCATGGTGACCCCATGTGACAGAGTACAACTGCCCCATAGAGTTTCTTGGCTGTAATCTTTACAGGAGCAGATCAACAGGTCTTTCTCCTGAAGAGCTGCTGGGTAGGTTCATGCTGTCAACCTTTCGGCTGGCAGCGGAGCGCTTAACCGTTGCATCACCAGGGCTCCTTCACAGTCAGCATTAGCCCCACTTCTGACACAGAGTAGATGTTTTGTTAGATTGAAGCGTAGACTGAGCCGAACCTCAGGGAGGCCAAACTGTCACAAGTGGCTTCTCCCTGCAGGCAGCCAATGGGGCTCCTCCTCGGCACACGGCCCCCCATTGCTGGGTGTCTGCTGGGGTTCCTGGGTCCCCTCTCTCCCCACGCGTAGGGAAAGCATCGAGCCTTTGCCCAGAGCCTCCAGGTGATGACAAACCCTGGACTGAGATCATAGTCAGGCCCAGTGAGAATTCCAGTCTACGGGATGGGAAGTTATTTTTTTCTTAACTTTAATCAACACTTACATAAGAATTACCTATAATTTAATAATAATACAATTGAACTCCCCCCCCCCCAAAAAAAGGTGACTGTTTGGCTAAATATGAAGGAACTGGCAAATAACAGGAAAAGGAAAAAGAACAACGTAAAACAAGATGGGGAAGAGAGGACAGAAAGGAGAGGTGAACCTCTGCTGTGGAAAGAGTTGGCAATAACCGTTCTGTCAGAGCAGAACACTGACTCTGCCCATCTTCTCAGCTCACCGCTGAGGAACCCTGAAGAGGGGCTACAGGACACAGGCACCACCCAAGGCAACTGCTGGGGGCCCTGACTCATTCACTGAGTCACCTAGTGTGGCTCTCTCCTTTTTCTACTTTTCCCTTCTTTCCTATCAATATCATAGGTCACCCGGTGGCAGCTAGGACTCTATCACCGACCCTGCCTTCTGCTGAATAGGGAGGTGAGGAGTGGACACAGGAAAGTACGTGGCAAATTCAGACAAAGCAGGAAGAACAGCCATTCCTGCAGACCCGAGGGTAACGAGTCACCTGCTCTGTACCTCAGCGAGCCTCTGCCCTGACTGCCACTCACTTGAAGGGACTGAAGAGCCAGTGCCGGGACAGGGAGTCCATGGAATAACCTTCAACCCAGTCTGCATCCAGCTTTTTCACACCCGCAATGAAGTACACAATGAAGATCTGCAAACACAAAACACAAAACAAATGTTCAAACAAATAAGAATCTCATCTTCTACAGGTAGTCAAGAATAAAGTGAGTTCTGACCTCAGCCCAGGGCCCAAGGAAGAGGAGATCCATTCCTCTAGTCATTCATTTCAGATATTCACCCATTCAGCAAGTATGTACTGACATCCTACCAACACCAGGCCTGTTATTAGGCACCAGAGCCAAAGTTAAGAACCACAGATGTGATCCTTTCTCTCATGAGGGCCCTAATTTTAGCAGGGACAGAGCTGTATCTTTTCCACGACAAAGTGAGTGAACTCAGAGATTAGGAAACTGGAAAAAATGGGAAAGCCTAGCTTTCCAGCGAAAGAGAGAAGAGAAGATCCAGGGAGGCAGAGAGAGTGAGTCCAGCAGTATGATGGCCATGCTGATGTGCTGGCTGTCAGTGAGCACCTCCCTCTGTGCAAAACCCTGTACCTGGCCACGCAGCACTGTGTAGTTCCAAAGGGGCACCTGGGCATTCCTCTTCCGGGCGCTCAGCAGACCATCCACAGACCTACACCGAGGGAAGTAAGGAGCTTCTTCGTCTAGTCGCATTTCCATCTTTCCTTTGAAATGTGGTAATCCTATCTATCCCAGGAACGTCCAGATCCTCCCTGGTTCTCTGGGCTATTCTGAGGCCCTTTAGAATTATATGAGCAAACTGTAACAGTGACTACTATAAGTTGTAAGAGAAATATTACTAGTAAGTGGTAACAACAAAGAGTTCAATGTTTACCATTAGTTAGCTAGCAAATGAGTTTGTCCTAATGAATCAAATCAGGAAAAAGGCTACAATGTTAGAAGATGAGTGAAGAAGGGAACAAATTTAAGGGAGTGTTTGAAAAGCTAAAAGTGTGTATAAATATACACATAGTACATTATTTAAAAAAAAAAATTCAAAACACTAACAGCAAAATAATGTACAGCACAAAATGACATTTCATAGACCTGGATGCCAGGATCCGGTGCCAGAAGACACCTGCTAACAACTTATCCTGGAAGAGAACTGATAACCCAGGCTATGGAGACCAGGTGTATTCTGGGGAGGGAAGCAAAGCAGGTTTCTAGAAGACAATGAGTAAGCAGAGAAGTTGGGCAAAGGGGAAGCTTACATTTGTGGTCAAGAGTACAGGACTCTGCAGTCAAGGAGACCTGGGTTCTCACTTCGGGCTCATACCTGCTATGTCATCTGAGGCAAATCCTTTACTTCTCAAAGCCTTAGTTTCTTTATCTATAAAATGGGAACAGCACTATGGACCTCATGGTGTTGTACTGAGGAAAAACTGTCAAGTGTTTAGTATAGTGCCTGGCACGTAGAAAGCCCTGAGTGAGTGACAGGTATTTTTTTCTAATTGTGTAAAGTCATGAAAATTGAACTTTCCAGGGATATTGTCAAAACTGCCTCTTAATTCTCTATGATCAGAGCTGGCCATTCTGAATGAGTTTACAGGTTCACAAAAGGGGTATTTGTATGGCTGTATTAATGAGCAGGAGCCCTGGTGGCGCAGTGGTTAAGCTAACCGAAAAGTTGGTGGTTTGAACCCACCAGCTGCTCTGTGGGAGAAAGATGTGGTGGTCTGTTTCTGTAAAGATTACAGCCTTGGAAACCCTCAGTCCTACTGGGTCGCTATGAATCGGAATCGACTCAATGACAACAGGCTTGGTTTTTCAGGGGGAGGTATTAATGAGCAAACCTTAATTAAGACATAACTCTCTAACAAATTCAACGTTAGAGATTTTTTTCCTGAGTCCATCTTACTGACATCTCATACTTGGTTTTCGTTTTTTTTTTTTTTTTTTTTTACCTCAGACATTTTTATTGTTCCCCTTTCAGTCATTCCCTACCCCGCCTCATATCTGCTTTTCATTTAACAATGGGCAGAATCCTTAAAGATCATCTGACCTGCCACCCTGTCTCCAAATACCTTCACCACCTCCCCTTGGAGACGGTCATCTAAGCCAGAGACGGAAGGTCACCTCCTCCCAGGACAGCAGCTCTGGTGGGCCCTCCCCTTCTCACATCATCTCTGCCTCACAGCAACTTTCAGTCTTGGTTCTCACTCTCCCTTCTGGGCTTACACAGAGAAAGTCAGCTCCCTCTTCCACATGCCCACCCTGAAGCATATGAAAACAGCTATGTCTGGCTTTAGTCTTCTCTTCTTCTCTCTAAGAGAGTTACAGGAAGTGGATAGATCAAGGTACCTGGGACATATGGGAAGAATGAAGGGGTGGGAATGGAGCCATTTTGCTTTTTGGCATTCTAAGTGCCCCAACGTGGCTGTCCCCTTTCCCCTCCCAAAGTCAGCCAAATTAAAGTGTGACCTTGTAATCATGTGCAGCAAAGTATGGTTGAAAACATGCTTGCTGGGCAAATTCAAGGACCTCAGTGGGTCCCTGTTGCTGGCAACCATCCTGACCCAGCTAACCCTCCCTTCTGTCCCCCCAGACTCATACCAGTAGCGATTTGCATCCATGAACGTCAGCTGAAAAGCCAACAAACCATACAGATAGGAGTGGTTGTTCCACGACGTCTTGTCCAGGAGAAACACATACCAGTATGGCAGCAGGAACAACACACAGCTTATCCGGTAGCACAGGCCCAGCATCATGCCCAGTGCCCCTGGGATTTGTGGGAGAAAGGATTAAGAGGTCAAAGGGTCACCACAGGCCCAGCTCCCCTGGAACATGCTTTGGGTGGGATTAAGAAAAGTCATCAGGCATTTTATAATCAGCTAAAACTAACGAAAAATTAAATGTTATTTTAAAAAGAAGAGTTATGGAGTCACAGCTCAGACGACACACAGCATTGAAAGTCACAGCAAAGTAAAATAAGCAGCCCAAGACCTTGGTCATTCACCAACATGCTTTGTATTTCTGTGTTTAGGCAGACCAGTCAACCAGTCAACTCTTCTGCAGTTCCCCTCACCCAGAAACATGATGGTGTAGACCAGATACATCCAGTCAAGTGGCAGCGGGCGCAGGGCATCCAGTAAGGGGAAGCGGCACACATCCAGCCCGTCTAGGTATCTGCGGTCCAGGGAGCTGAGCCCTCGCTCCTGGGGAATGTCCAGCACCATCAACAGCCCTGAGAAGGCAGTGAGGGGAGGGGCCCGTTAGGCCTCAGCTAAGGAAGCAGCGGAGTACAGTAGAGTGCACCCAGCAACAGTGTCAGACTTACTTCTAACCCCGGCTCTGCCATTTATTCATTCACTCAACAATAATTACTGAGAGCCTGCCCTGTGCTAGGCATTGTGCCAGCAGTGTGACCTTGGACAGCCACTGGATGCACTAAGCCAATCCCCCATTTGTCAAAGGGGATCATAATACTTCACAGGGGTTCAGTAAGAACTAAATGAGAGAAATGCACAAAATGCTGTAAAAACTGTTAGGGTTTCCACCGTTATATTTATAAAGGTCTGTTCTACTGGGCTACAGAAAGTGTCCTTGGGTGTTTCTCAACCTTTTTTGCTTCCTGGCACACTCAGAAAACAGTACTATTTGGACAACACACTAGGGTAAACACGAGGGTAAACACAACAGGCTACCTAGGTCAGGGAGCCAGTTCCGGTTAAAGGGTTTCTCAACCACAGGACTATTAACCTTTTAGGCCAGACAGGTCTTTGTTAAGGAGCCCTGCGGCGCAGTAGTTAAGCATTCAGCTTCCAACTGAAAGGTCAGCAGTTCGAACCCACCAGCAGCTCTGTGGGAGAAAAGACCTGGCAAACTGCTCCTGTAAAAATTACCCATAACCCATTGCTGTCGAGTCGATTCTGACTCATAGTGACCCTACAGGACAGAAAAGAACTGCCCCATAGGGTTTCCAAGAAGCGGCTGGTGGATTCGAACTGCCAACGTTTTGCTGAGCAGCCAAACACCTATCCAGCCTAGGAAACCCTATGGGGCAGTTCTACTCTGCCCTACAGGGTCACTATGTGTTGGAACCAACTCGAGAGCAATGGGTGATTCTTTGTTGGGAGAGGTTATCCTTTGCATTATGGACATTTAGCACAATCCCTGCCCCTACATAGATGCCAGCAGCCCCCTTCCCAAGGTGTGACAACTAAAAATGTCTCCAGACAATGCCAAATGTCCCCAAGAAGCAAAACTGCACCCAGGTGAAAACCGCTGTGGTGAAGTGATTAATCTCTCAGCACATCTGTAACACGCTGTGGCCTATGAGTTAGGAAGCTCTGGGTTACAGAGACACAGCCAAAATGTCTGACCCATCACCCCTGCCCAGTTTCTCTAAAGTCCTTACCATAGCCACTGGGTAACTTCATGCCACAAGCAAAATGGGTCCCTGTTCTTCTGTCTCTACATTTCCTATAGCCTCAGATCAAAGCATTCTGCCCATCGAACCCTAATAGGAGACAAAGCTGGATTTGATTCTAAATTCCGCAAGGATCTTTTGCATTCTATCAGTATCTTCAGCTTTGAGGAAAAGGGAGGTAAACCACTAAAAACCCAAAAAACCAGAGTCAATTTCGACTCATAGCAACCCTACAGGACAGAGTAGAACTGCCCATAGGGTTTTCAAAGCTGTAATCTTTACAGCCTTGCAAAGACATCACTTTGAAGACTAAAGTGCACCTGACTCAAGCCATGGTGTTTTCAATCACCTCATATGCATGTGAAAGCTGGATGATAAATAAAACCAGAAGAATTGATACCTTTGAATTATGGTGTTGGCAAAGATTATTGACTATACCATGGACTGCCAAAAGAACAAACAAATCTGTCTTGGAAAAAGTACAGCCAGAATGCTCCTTAGAAGCAAGGATGGTGAGACTTGTCTCACATACTTTGGACATGTTATCAGGAGGGATCAGTCCTTGGAGAAGGACATCATGCTTGGTAAAGTAGAGGGTCAGCGGAAAAGAGGAAGACCCTCAACGAGATGGACTGACACAGTGGCTGCAACAATGGGCTCAAGCATAACAACAATTGCGAGGATGGCACAGGACCCAGCAGTGATTGTTCTGTTGTACGTAGGGTCGCTATGAGTTGGACCAGACCCCACAGCACCTAACAACAACAATCTTTACAGGAGCAGACTGCCACATCCTTCTCCCACGGAGCAGCTGGTGGGTTCAAACCACTGACCTTTCAGTTAAAAATCAAACGCTTAACCATTGCGCCACGAAAAAATGGACAAATAACTGCTATCAATCTCCCATCGTCAACTGAACTAGCCCCTCCCAGAAACTGGACTCACCAAAGAGAAAACGGAAGACGGCCAGGTTTGCAGGATCCGTTGGTCGATTCAACAGGGTCACCAGCCTCCGCCAGCTGGACAAATCTGTCCACTCAAAACCTAAGAGTTTTCCCATTCGGCTGCCCTGCCTAGGCTCTGAGGTTTGTCCAGCCTTGTCTTTCTGTACTTTATCTGCAACCAACAAATGAAGAACATTTTTTATGTGTGCGTGTGTTTGTGGAGGGGTGCTTAAAATCACAAAAATCACAGCCCCACCCGCCCCAGGGCTTCGGCCCACCTGGGTTCTACCACTGACCGTAGATTATCAGAAAAAAAAAAAACCCTGCAATGTGGTCCCTCACCCAGGACCCCGCAATGCTCCCGAACCCCTCTCAGACTACAGTCCTCCAGCCTCAAAGCTCCCGTGAATGTCATTATCAACCGCAAACCGCAGACCGCAATCTGTCTGCAAACCCTCTCCAAACGAAGGCCAACTTCACCCGGTCCCACAAGGCGGTCCTTCTGTTCTCGCCCCTCTCTCTACGGCGAGGGCGGGGTTCTGAGCCTACCTGAGCCACGTAGGGACCGCGTGGACCGTTTGGACACTGCCATGGTCCCGCGGGGACAACTCGCCGCAGCAACAGGGTCAGCAAGGCAAGCCAAAAGCGGTGGCTCCTGCAAGTCCCGCCTCCCCGACACTTCAGCACATGCGCGGCCGGCCAGAAAGCGCCAGCACTGTCGGGAAGGGCCACGGCCGCGGCGCCAGACTCCCTGCTTGGTGGCAGGGGGCGGAGCAGGGAGCCGTGGGGCGGGACGGCGCTGAGGGCTGGGCGGGCCTCGACATACCCAGTGACGCAGAAGGGGCGGGGAAGCTCTAGACCCGGCTCTCAGCCAGCGCACCGCGCTTCTCATCTTTGGGGGTTCAGAGGCACCTTCACTCTTTCGCCCCTAGGTGGACCCCGGGCTCCTCCAACTTCGTTGTGTCCGTCCCCGTCCTCATTAGGCTTCTCCAGGTTGTAGTGACCCTGGGATGTCCCCTGATGTGAGGAGTCGGGCGCAGATATATGACTCTAACCCAGAGACGTTGACCGCCGTGTTGAAGACGCACCTGAAAGGGCTGCCCTGGCCTAGAACAAGTGCGCGTATCCCTTCATTCTCTCTCCAAAGAACCCAAGGTTTGAAAGCGGTAGGGAAAACAGAAACAACACAACTGCAGCGAGAATGCGGAGCAGGCTGTGAGTAGAATGTGGTCTCTCAGGGAAGATTCTTGGAGAGCTCACTGTTGAACAAAATTATAATACCCAATTGCGTGCACTGAGATTGGTCAGCAAGAAAAGAGGAGAGCATCCTAGAGCTGCAGGTCCCAAACTTTTTGATGTTAGGACCACTTCAGGTAAATAGATAGCGGCCTTGGAATCTACTTTGACTCATGACTACCTTATGAAAACAGAATGAAACGTAACCGTCATCATTGGGTATCGTGACACGCTGTCTCACCGAGCCTCCCCCACCCTCGCTGGTCCTCCACTTCCCTAAACCTGATGTACTCCTCCAGCGATTGATCCCTCCTGATGACATGTCCAAAGCAAGCAAGTACGAGAATGTTCTATTGTGATCCATGAGGTTTTCACTGGCTGATATTCAGAAGTAGATCGCCAGGCCTTTCTTCCTGCTGTCTTAGTTTTGAAGCTGCTCTGCTGTAACCTGTCCACCATGGGTGACCCTGTGATATTTGAAATATCGGTGGCATAGCTTCCAGCATCACAGCAGCATGGAAGCCACAGTGTGACAAACTGACAGATGGGTGGTGGTGGTGGTGGTGGTGTTAGGTGCTGTCGAGTTGGTTCTGACTCATGGGTGGTGGTAGAACCACTTTACACTCCTAGAAATTATTGAGGACCCTAAAGAGCCTTTGTTTATGTGGGTTATATCTTTCAATATTTATCATGTAAAAAGTTTACACCAAGAATTTTCTTTAATGCATTGATTAGTTAAAAAATACAATCATGAACCCATTATATATTTACATAAATCACACTTTTATGAAAAATAAATATATTCTCTACCAAAGATAAAAAGTGAGAAAAGTGGTATTGTTTTACATACAAATCTCTGTAATGTTTGGTATAATTGAAGACAGCTGGATTCTCATTGCTGCTTCTGTGTTCTATCAGTTGTGAAATGATGCTGATTGAAGTAAATGAAGGAAATTTGGTCTCATAGATATTTAGTTGGAAAAGGAAAAAGCACTTTAATAGTCTTTTCAGATAATTGAGGATATTGTTCTTTGATACCACACCTAAACAGTACGGGTGATAGTTTTTTAAAGGTTAATAGCAATGTGGAACCTGAAACCGTATCTGTCATGGATTGAATTATGTCCCCCCAAAAATGTGTTTATCAGTTTGTCTGGGCCATGATTCCTGGTATTGTGTGGTTTTCCTATAAGTTGTAAATCCTGCCTCTAT